CATCGGGTTCCCTTCGCATGTCCCTGGAGGCATGAGATGTAGGTCGTCGACCAAATTGGACTGGATTTTGTTCTCAAATGGAACCGTCTGCAACCGTCGCGTGAAGAATGATTCATTTTCTCTTTCTCGATTGCACTCCCAACGACGGTCTGGGTTTCGACAACTCCTAAATGTGTGTTGTTGACCAACGGTATCACGCTGCACATGCCCAAGTTAAGTCTACCGTAGGTCCACGTCGTTGACTTGGCAGGTTGGTTTGTCGAAAGCGACATGAGGGATTCTATCCTGACATGTATTTTAAAATCATATTCCCCCAGCTTGACGGTGGGACAAAACTATTATGGATATTATGTAATACCCTGGCACAGTGGTGTAGAGGCTGTGCCGTCGACGTTAGTCGAGGTTATGACACGTGCGAAAGGGTAGCCTGGAAGACGAGAGTCCTTTCATTGGAACACTGGCGCTTAGGTGGCCAACACAACCCGGAAGGATCACACGAGAGAGTGAGCTACTCGGCTATCAAGCACCACGCAGAGAATCCTGCGAGAGTATTTCCTCCGCATACACATATTTCTACGTTACATTCGAACCGACATTCGAACCGACACATATGAGATCTACGATATACAAGAGCTGAACATTGATTCATACTGGTTATGTGCCAACATTTGCATAACACTCCCCTTCAATGAAAGTTGCTCTGAATTGAACCAAAGTACAGTGATGAAAATCAAATCAAGCAAGCACTCGTTTTCTGCGCAACGTAACTCATTCGTTTCATGCGTTTCAAACACTAACGTACCAAGTGATATTACATGTTTTGCGCGTGCTAGAACACATTATTTATGCGCTTGCAAGAAGTACCTGCTATTGTTTCTTGCATAAACCAAAGCACCATATCTTTCAAGCCTACATGGCTCGTTCAACCAGTGATGGTGCGAGGCCGAATGTTGACTACTGAAAGACTACGCTGATTCACTCAAACAGAACAGATGCAAAAATAATTCGTAACAAACACACAAACAAAAACACGATTACTTGAACTTGTTGCTGATGAAGTCGTTGACGTTGAAACTGCTGATGATGTCCAACAGGTGTTTGAGCCGATACTTGTTAAGATGCTTTGTCCCGATGTCGGCAGGGTTGCTGTCCGTCGGGACGTAATGGATCGATATCCGTCCCTCCGATACTAGCTCTCGGATGTAAAAGAAGCGAAGTGCGATATGTTTTTCCCTCGAGCTGAAGGAGCGGTTTCCAAGCGCGTGCAGCGTCGCCGTGTTGCCGCAGTACAGTCGCACTTGCGCAAACTCCTTACCGAACCCTAGCTCAGTTAGCATGTTAGAACAGAACACTGCGTCCTTCATGGCTAGTGCCGATGCAATCAGCTCTGCCTCCATGATAGACATGGCAGTTGGACCTTGTTTCCCCGACTCAAAACTCACCGGTGCATTTCCTAGCATCGTCAAGTAGCAAGAGGTGGACTTTCCGTTGTCTCCAGCTTGATGCCGATGTCTTGACAGTACTGACGGAATTTCGCACTCGTGAATTCTGTGCCCTGATCCCCACGGAGGCAATGAATGCGTTCTCCGGTAGGAACCACGGTCCCTTTATTGAACAACGCGAGGGAGTCTACAGAACAGGTCTCGTCCTTCATGAGAACTATCTCCGCCCACTTGGTCTGCTGGTCCACAAACTTGGTGGCGTACTTGGATCCGCCCAACGCCGTAGGTGCGAAGGGGCCAAGGGTGTCGTGCTGGAAGGGGCGCAGGACGCCGTAGGTGGCCTGCTTTGGGTGAGGTTGTTGTGCGCTCTTTCCGAGCGGGCAGACACTACAGTACTTCACGTCTCCGATGTAGTCGACGCCGTTGACCTGTTCTTTCCTTAGAACGTCCAAGTTCTTNCATGGGAGTCTACAGAACAGGTCTTGTCCTTCATGAGAACTATCTCCGCCCACTTGGTCTGCTGGTCCACGAACTTGGTGGCGTACTTGGATCCGCCCAACGCCGTAGGTGTGAAGGGGCTAAGGGTGTCGTGCTGGAAGGGGCGCAGGACGCCGTAGGTGGCCTGCTTTGGGTGAGGTTGTTGTGCGCTCTTTCCGAGCGGGCAGACACTACAGTACTTCACGTCTCCGATGTAGTCGACGCCGTTGACCTGTTCTTTCCTTAGAACGTCCAAGTTCTTACCGTTGATGTGACCCATGCGCCGGTGCCAGAGATCAGCGGACTCCACCTTCAAGGCGAGGGCATCAGGCGCGTCTCCGAGGACCGTCGGGCCCTCGGGTTCACCCCCTAGCTTTACCTCGATGGAGTAGATGCGTTTTCCGGTCGTGGCGTCCACCCCGAGGGTCTGCATTGGGAAAACCACGTCCCCTGACTCCAACCTGGGGTTGTCCGGATGAAACAACGTCGCCACCCCTTTTAGCATCGCCAATGTCACGGAGAAGAGGTTGGTGCCCAGCCCTGGTACCAAGATGACGCGAAAGGAGACGTGCCGGTCGTTCCCATTGTCGTCCGTGACGGCCCCGAAGATAGTCCCCGTCGTAACGCCTTTGAGGACATGCTGGCCCGCGGCGACGATCGTGTGTGGGACCCGAAGGTGTTCGACGTCGCGCATGTGAGCCCGCAATCCTGGTGTAAGCCCAGGGTCGAGGTAGTTGTCTGTCGCTCCACTGTCCACAACCATCCGGATGGACGATCCGTCGGAGCGAAAAGGAGTAAGCGACAACTCTGCATGAGTCGCCATGAACGCACCGAAGAAACCTGAAGGCAGTCGGTGGTCCTGCGCCCTCGACGTTGATGAGGCAGATGCAGGTGCCGCTTGCGTGGCGGCAGACGCCGCCGGAGGTGGCTGGGAAGAGGCAGACGACGAGGTTGCCTCCAAGGAAGTTCCGAGGGCGTTGAAGGAGAACCCGAACGAAGTCGGCTCTGACGGAGCCTGCTGCGCCACCGTCGGAGACGATTTGCGCCAGGTGAGCACTCCCGATAGTGGAGAGTTGCATAAAGTTGGCATGGCCAGCTGACTGCAGGAGCGCCAGGTTCGCCGCCAACCCTTCAAGCTCCTTTTGCTTGTTTTCCCGGATCTCCTTTTGCTTCTGGCACTCAGCATCGCTGTGTGTCTTGGTGTTGTGGTAGGAGCACCACTTTGGCTGTACACTCCCACCACTTCCTCGCTTGTTGGCTCCCTTCTTCTTGCTCTGCTTAGGACGGCTCTTTTGGACCTGTTGGGGAGAATCGCGCTGAAAGTGTCCGTACGCCTTGCATCGGCGGCACTGGTCGGTGTCGGACGCGACCGCCATCGCAGCCCCCCGGCCTGAGACCACGGGGCCCGACGCGTTGCGCGACTCCTGATCCACGAACAAGCGATTAGTCGTCGCCTAGAGACTGTCTACTGAAGCAAGATTGTCGCGGTAGTGCATCTCCCTGATGAACTTGAACTCCGGGGCCTTTGTCAGGCCTGAGAGCATGATGTCCAGGTAGACTGGGTCCTACACTTCCTCCCCCAGCACCTTAAGGCGAAGCTTGAGATCCCACCCCTTTGTGAAGAAGTCGATGGGATCACCGCCCGCAAGGTGTCGCAGGTTGAACAGCTCGTTGTGACACGCACGCCGAGCTTCCTGGGTTTGAGCATCAAAACGCTCGTTGAGAGCTCTCCAGGCCGCCGTCCCATCCCCCATGTCACTATCCGCCGCCCCTTCGTGAGTGCGGACAGTGAGCTGCGCAGACCCGGAGGTCACGAAGAAGAGGAGGGAGAACAGGCGACCGTTGGCCTTGTCCCACGCGGCCACATCCTCCGCGTTCGCCGCGGTCGCCGAAGGACGCGCGTTTCCGTTGAGGACGGGGAGAAGTTCCGGCGCGTGGAGGATGATTGCTTGTCGAAGCTTGATCTTCCACTCGCGGAAACCCGAATGTCCCGCGCATTTCCCAATGGAGTCCAGCATGCGGTGGAGCCCGGAGCTTGATGGTTCCGCCATCACTGAAACCAAGGTCACACGCCGAGCGTTATACGGTTTTCAGCACACGTAAGACGCCTCGATTACCTGTGAAGGTTCGACGCGCCAGAAAAAAACGGTGCTACGCTACACAGAGGTAGGCTTGGTGCAGGTCGCAGCTTTGTAGCGTACAACNGGTTCCGCCATCACTGAAACCAAGGTCACACGCCGAGCGTTATACGGTTTTCAGCACACGTAAGACGCCTCGATTACCTGTGAAGGTTCGACGCGCCAGAAAAAAACGGTGCTACGCTACACAGAGGTAGGCTTGGTGCAGGTCGCAGCTTTGTAGCGTACAACCCACGTCCAGCGGAAGTGATGTAGTGTCCGCTCGGACTGCTGCGCTTCTACGAGCACAGCTATGACCTACCGCAGGTGGCTAGGCTGTGGTGTTGCGGCGACGAAGTTGCCAACTCCGGCCTCGTCCTGCAGGCACACGGGTCAGATGTACTGCTTAGACTTGCTACGCGTCTTTCAGCGCAGACTTGTGGCTGCTGCACGGATGCAAACAGGCCTGATCAGATCCTCAACCTACACTCGCACCGGTATACATACAGTACGCGTGAGATATCTTGGACAGACCTACCTCGCGTAAAGCACAACGCGCAGGTAAATTTACGTGAGCGGATCACGTGGGTGTAGCTGTAGCAGCAGTGGGCTACCAGCTAGCAGTCGTATCCTCAGCCTGCACACGCTACCAAGGTTGGCAACTCAGCACGTGGGAGATATCTTGGACAGACTATACGCCTCGCGAAGGACCACGCGCAGGCGGTTTGGGTAGGGTGTTGAGAACACACAGAACACCAAGGACGGCACTCCGCACGCAGAACCAANATACAGTACGCGTGAGATATCTTGGACAGACCTACCTCGCGTAAAGCACAACGCGCAGGTAAATTTACGTGAGCGGATCACGTGGGTGTAGCTGTAGCAGCGGTGGGGTTCCAGCTAGCAGTTGTATCCTCAGCCTGCACACGCTATCAAGCTTGGCAACTCAGCACGTGGGAGATATCTTGGACAGACAATACGGCTCGCGAAGGACCACGCGCAGGCGGATTTGGTAGTTAGTTGAGAACACACAGAACACCAAGGACGGCACTCCGCACGCAGAACCAACTACCTGCACAACTCTATTCGCCGACCGAAGTCAACGCCTAGAAATTATGCCCCCGAACGCTGTACACAGTATCGTACCGAAATGTGTAGCCAAGAACCCAGGTGATCAGTCCGGGCCCAATAAGCAAGCGGGTTGACTCAGTGTGATCTCCAGCAGAAAGCAGACTCCGACGGTAACTCCCGGCGGAGAATACCCAAGCTGGAAGATGTGTATGTTCTCCACAGTGCTCGACACCAGCAGAAGACGCAGAAGGCGCAGTCGCCGCAGGCCTCCAGTCACACACAACCGAGGCTCATAACCTATTATGGATATTATGTAATACCCTGGCACAGTGGNACGCTGTACACAGTATCGTACCGAAATGTGTAGCCAAGAACCCAGGTGATCAGTCTGGGCCCAATAAGCAAGCGGGTTGACTCAGTGTGATCTCCAGCAGAAAGCAGACTCCGACGGTAACTCCCGGCGGAGAATACCCAAGCTGGAAGATGTGTATGTTCTCCACAGTGCTCGACACCAGCAGAAGACGCAGAAGGCGCAGTCGCCGCAGGCCTCCAGTCACACACAACCGAGGCTCATAACCTATTATGGATATTATGTAATACCCTGGCACAGTGGTGTAGAGGCTGTGTCGTCGGCGTTAGTCGAGATGATGACACGTGCGAGAGGGTAGCCTGGAAGACGAGAGTCCTTCCACGTAGTGAAGATGTTGAGATGTTGGAACACTGGCGCTTAGGTGGCCAACATAGTCCGAAAGGATCGCACGAGAGAGTGAGCTACTCGGGTATCAAGCACCACGCAGAGAATAGAGAATCCTGCATCCTGCGAGAGTAATTCCTCCGCATACACATATTTATACGTTACATTCGAACCGACATTCGAACCGACATTCGAACCGACATTCGAACCGACATTCGAACCGACACATATGAGATCTACGATTACAAGAGCAGTGCTACTGAACATTGATTCATACTGGTTATGTGCTAACATTTCCATAACGCACACGCTACCCCGATGGAGGAATTCGTCCGTGTCGAGGAGCCGCGCTTCGTTGTAATCCCCAGGGTAATTACCGCGAGGAACGGTTCGCCGAGCACCACTCCCACCGACTGATCTCCCGGCCGCTGCTCCCCCGGAGGATAAATCGACCACACCGACACCGACCAAGCGCACCCGGGGTGGTGGAACCCCGGGCCTCGTCGACAGGAAAGGCGCCCGCCCGACGTTAGTTATCAGCACCACCTCCACCAACGCACTTGCGGTTCGACATCGTCTACAACATGTTTCTCGCCGCCAAGGCTACTACCGACCACGGCTGACAACTCCCGTGTCCAAGATGTCCAAGTGTACAACCTCAATGGTGGCATGTCATGGGTGCGGCGACCCACGCCCTCCGGCTGCTGATGGCGGGGTCTTGACCATCAGCAGCCGGAGGGCGTGGGTCGCCGAGAAATGCTCGAACCGAACCTGTGACCAACCACCGTTGAAGTTGTACACTTGGACATCCTGGCCACGGGAGTTGGTAGCCGTGGTGGCCTTTGCAGCGAGAAACATGTTGTAGACGACGTCGAACCGCAAGGGCGTGCGGTCTTCAGGCCAGGACGTTCATAGCATTCCCCGCGCCAGCGGCAGACGGCACGTCCTCCTCGGGGCGGATGATCCCCATGCCAACCATCCGGAAGGCGCCCTTCAGGCGGTCGCTGAACAGGGAGGGGTACCGCCGGGGTTAAGTGTGGTCGGAGGAGTTACCGGAGGTCCCTGGAACACGGGCGTTTCAAAAGGATTTTGGCGTGGCGCCCATTATCCTCGCCATCTTGTTTGCTATGTGGTCCCTTTGCTTGTGCTGGGTCAGGTCGACAGCAAACGCACGGTTGTTGGTGGGGTGAGGAGGAGTCGCGTACAACATGGGGGGCCCCGTACCCTCCGTACCCTCCGTACGGCTGCAATCTAGGGTAGGCCGGTGGAGCCCCGTGGTACACAGGTTCACCGTAGGATTGTAGGTGTCCTTGTTGGGGCAGCTGCTGTTGGTAGGCCGGCGGCTGGGCCGGCTGGCAGTACGGCACCGGTTGCGGCGGCCCTTGCCGATGGTGCTGGGGTTGCTGATGCTTGCTGATCAGGGTGCTGGGCCGCGGTAGCGGATGGTGTTGCCGATGCTGCCCAAGCGGGTGGTGCTGGGGCAACTGTTACTGATGCTGAGCAAGTTGGTGGTGCTGGGGCGACTATTGCTGCTGCTGCTGCTGCTGCTGCTTCTGCCCGGCCGGCTGATGCTGGGACTAAGTCCCGCCTGGTAAAAGGGGAGCAGCACCGGCAGCATCGGCGGCGGCGGCGGCGGCGGCGGCGGGAGGGGGCCTCCACCCCCCCTGGCAGAGGGGGGTGTCCCGCTCCGAAGTGGAATTGGTGGCGGCGGAGGCAGGTGCGGTGCCGCCCCTTGTCCTTGGGCAGGCTGGGCTGCCGCCGGGTTGAGGGGTTGATTTTCGGGTCTTTCATGGCGGCTGGTTTCCGGGGCGGTATCAAGCAGATACTTGTGGGTTCATGATCGGGCAACCACGAAGAGGAGCGTTGTGTCCTAGGGGTCAGGGGACAATTCTCCTGAACCCTTCCAGCAGACTGGATCGAGGGAAGATGTCGGTCTGTTCCCTGATCATGTCAGCCTGCGTCCTCCGAATACTCGAGACCACAGCGAAGTATTCATCATGGTATGTACAGAACCGGTGAGGCCGGCCGGCCGGAACACCTGGTCGTTGTTCCTAAACCGGGCTGCGATTGGTGCAGTCATGGTAGATCTTGGAGAGGCGACTTTCTGTCATCGTTAGCGCTTCAAGGCGGCCGCCCGGAGAGCGAGCCGCTCATGCGCAAGGCCCTCGCAGCTCAGGGCTACCGGAAGGCGCGAATCTCGCGGCGAACGGAGGTCTACGAGAGGAGAAACCGAAAAAAATTGGGCTCTAGACAACGAGCGAGCTAACATTGCCAACCCTGCAACCTCGTGAACACTCAGCCCGCAGGAGATCCGTCTAGCTCTATACTTCGAAGTATTTAATTAACATAGTGACGACATCCTCTCGGGATTGGGTTGACGTTGCCACCCCACCGCGCTCTCGACGGTGACAAAGTCTCCACTCTGCAAGCTCATGGTTAGGACAGCATTACCAAGCACGTTTACGTATTTGCAGCCGTCAAATCCCACCGTATTGGCTGCGATATGTTGCCGAAGTGTGGGACTGGTACAATCAGCCAACTCTTATCCATCAAAGTAAACAAGGCTGCCGACAATGGCGGATTGACTGGATACGCTCGTGATGTCTAGAGAAAAACTGTGAAAGTGGCGCTGGTACGGCCGATAACGGTTTGTGTGGAAGAACAATCAGGTGGGTGCGATAGTCACGAAGGCAAGCCATCCTCCTAATATTCGGAGGGAAGAAATAGTCTACACACTGGGTCTTGCACGTAAAGTGACGATGATGGCAAGCAGGCGGTCAAGCCAATTCATTCAGCACAAGTCCGCAAGTGCCCAAAGTGCCCAACGGGACTGCTGTCATCCGTTGGCTGGTCGCTAAAGATCTTGGGGTTACATGCACAACGAACCACAGGGTTTGCACAGTGCACTGACAACTAACTGCGATTCTCTGGAAAACAGCCGGGGGCACTCACTCATGATAGAGCGTATTGCTCCCCCCCTCGCTGCTGTGTGGTTTTGCTTGGTGATCAACGGGGGCGGTGGTGATGACAACTAAACGCAGTCCACGCCGCCTTTAGGGAGAGCTACTACCTGCAGAACGTCGGCGATCTGCAGTCCGCGGCGAGAGGGTATCAAGAGCTAGCTAGAGCACGATGCGGCGGACCCCCATGGCCAAAAGATTCCGCCGTT